GTGCCCATACCTGTCCACTATCGTGAGTAAGCCAAAACCTGGCAGGCTCAGGCTCAGGCTAGGTCCACGGGTCGAGCCGGGCCGGACTCAATTTGCTCAGGTCTAGTTACTAGCCCCCAATGAAACCATCTTCCCTTGGCGGTAGGCGATTATATTAGTATATTTCCATGTCTTTGGTAAATTTGACATTGTCATAGTTTTCTCGAGAGCCAACAAATTGCCAAGAAAATTACCTTGTGCTTTACCCCCTTATAGCAGGTTTTGCTTGATCGTTGGCCATCAAGGATTATTTTCTTAGTGGCTTGGATATTTTTTCTTGACAGTTTCTGTCCGCCAATGAAATTCTGAATCCTGGTAGTGCGTCATGACAAGGGTCGTTTAGGTGTCAGTTTGAGAAACTGTGTGGCATGAAGAAATTGTAGTTTATAAACTAGAGATATGCAAAATTGTGGTTTAGACGAAAGAGATGTCTCGACCCATGATTTGGATTCAAAGTTTTTTTTGAATTATTAGACAAATACTATGATTTTATAAAATACCTTGGTTTCAAAAATTGTGAGGTGTTTGAATGCAACAAATCTTCTAGTTTTTAAAATCATGTTATTGCTAAAACAAGAGCCTTTTAATCTAAAAAAATCAGAGCCTTTTTGGAGTTTAAAAACTCGATCTATATTTTTTAAACCACAGTTAACTTATAAAAGAATAGTTTTTAATACCATAGTTTTCTAAAACAATAATGTCATAACAGGCCCTAAGATTATATATATATATCCAGACATCCGAAGCTTTTTCGTCTAAAAAAAAGACATCTGAAGCTTTTCAAAACCAAAGTAAGTATTTCACAAAACCATAATTTTTCCCTAATAGTCCTAAATAAATTGCACCTAATCGCGCGTGGCCTTACTTTCATTTGCTTATACTAGCACATAGGACTATAGGAGCATATACCCTTGATCAAACATGAACACAAAGCCCCGTTCGCTTCGCTGAAAAAACAAGACGAAATACTGTTATTTGTTGTGAGAGAAAAATATTATTCCGACTAAAAAAACAAGCTGAAAAAGACGGATTATAAGATAAGCGAACAGGGCCTTATGCCTGTTTAGTTCCTCCTCCTAATGTTTACTCACTATCACATCGGATGTTTGGACATATGCATGAAGTATTAAATATAGACTAAAAATAACTAATTTCACAGATTGCGACTAATTTATGAGACGAATTTTTTAAACATAATTAGTTCATGATTTGACAATGTGGTGCTACAGTAAACATATGCTAATGACAAATTAATTAGGCTTAATAAATTCGTCTCGCGGATTACTGAGGACTTCTGTAATTTGTTTTATTATTACTATCCGAACACTCCCATGTGACTCCCTGATGTATCACTCGACGTGACATCCCTAAACTTTTTTGAATTTAAACACCATCTTAATCGACCTGTAGCTAGCCAGGCTAAGGCTAGGGGCACGTCGATCGATGACACATCATCACCAAGTGGCAGACATCCCCTGCAAAAGCCGGAAGGAAACCCTAGAAATATTCCTTTGGTAGGCTCTCAATCAGATGTGACCACACATGAATTGGGCTAGCAGGTACAGTACAGCACTACACATGATGTCCCTCCTCCTCATCCTTGAGAGCTGAAAGCCATGCATGGATCTAAAAGGCAGTGTCCGTACGCATGATGAGCTTGAGATGAGAGAGCTTTACAGAGCCATCGGGTCGATCATGCTCATGCATTGCCAGCCTTTGGCCCCAGTGGAATGGAATGTCTGGGAATCTCCGCGCACGCATCATAAATATGGGGCCCGTTTAGTTCCACCAAATTACAAACTTTGGCACTATGCAAAAAGAAGATTCACCGTCACATCAAACTTGCGGTACATGTATGGAGTACTAAATGTTGACGAAATCAAAAACTAATTGCACAGTTTAGTTGTACTTTACGAGACGAACATTTTGAGTCTAATTAGTCAATATTTGGACAATTATTACCAAACAAAAACAAAAATATACTGTAGCTACAGTACCTTCACCAATTCGGCCGGCGAAGAATCAGCCGCCAACTAAACGTGGCCATGGTCGACGGTTGTTGCCCTGCCCTGCCCTGATGGCGCGGTGATCTTCCCCGGTCAAGATTCCAACAATTGCGTGGGGTCTTGTCTTGCTCTTGCACCATCTCTCTCCATCCACTCTCTCCACTCCCGGCTGATGGGGGGCGCCCGCGCTTCTGGGCCGGTGTGGGCCTGTGCCGCCACACCGCTGCCACTGCGCTCACACATGCATGAGAACGGATCACATGCTTTCGGAAGGCTGGGGTTGTCATCGCGGCAAGGTTAGGTTAATCTCCCCGGCCACAGAAAAGGACCGAGAGAGAGAAAGAGATCACACGGACTGGACCGGAGGGTGATACAGGAAGGATGATGCACTCACATGCATGCACATTGGCGTGCACTGCACAGCAGGGCGTTGGAGGACTTGTGCTGAGATGGCCCCGGCCCGGCCCCTTTACTAACTCCCTCCGAGTCATGCTTCCTTCTTCTGTTCTTCTATTCTAAGCGTCAAGTGCTTTAGTTGATATATATTTGAGGAGAGTTGTTGAGGCATGACTTATTCATAGACCATCAGCCTGTTCGCTTGGTCGTATTTGGCTTATAAGTTATGGCTTATCAGCCAACGAACAGTATTTTTCTCTCACAATAAACCAGCCAACAGTACTTTCAACCATGACTTATAAGCCAAACAAGTCCAAACGAACAGAGCGCATAATAAAGACATTTCTTCGATTACTAAAGTAGTAACTTTATATTAGACATGTGAGCAAGAACGCGCACGGATGCAATATAATGTAGCTGCTGGCATTCTGGCAAAACAGTACGGGTAAGATGGATGTGGAGTTGTGGACAGTTGACGCAAACAGAGGTGTGCAAATGGTCGACAGTATTCTAAAGGCATCTTCGTAATAGAATCAGCTTGCTAGCTCATATAAATTTTAAAAAAATAAAAATAGAGTAACCTAGTATGCTAATATTGAAAAACATGTAAGCGTATATACATGAATCATGAGAAAGTAGGTGGGCTTAGCTCTCCATGAAGAGCTAGTTTATCATTATTCCTCCTTATTGAATAAAATATCTAGGAGCTAGCTACTCCAACATTGTTGGAGCTGCCCTTAATACTGTGGCGCAAGGCGTGGTAAAGTTTGGCTGGGAACCAAACAACCCCTAGAATTCTGATACGGAGTACCTCCTAGTTACAATAAGTGGTGTCTCTAAATACATCTCCAACAAGCTGAGGCAACCATGCATAACTTTCTGCTTCATTCCAGTGCAAATTTGCGCCATACTTGTGGCAGCCTTTTTATCAGCCACATGTTAGATTTCTTAGGACTCAATCGAGTCAAGTTCACCAGATCGGGTACACAGAATAGGAATACATGTTCAAGATTTACAGTATATACACAAATCCTGATGCATGAACTACAGAGATATAAAAGGAAGAAAAGGGGTAGGTGGAGTAGGAAGTCGCAGACCATCGAAGGCCGTAGTGGTCGAAGCAGTCGGAGTGGTGGAAGCGCCGGCCGCGGCCTCGTTCGCGGATGCCATCTGCGCGCCGGCAGCGACGTTCGGTGGAGAGAGGAGTCGGTGCAGTGGCGTCCTTGGCGGCGGCGTGTGCGTCGGGGTGGCGTTGCCGGCGTCGGTGGTGCTTCCCGTCGCTGGCAGCGCCCCTTCTCAAGATCGGGTTAGGGTTAGGATGTCGGTGGGGAGTCTGGCGGCGTGGTGAACCTCGTACTGCGAGCCCCGGCCCCCACCTTTCCTTTATAGAGCTGTGCGACGGGGGCCCACCAACCATGTAGGGTTGAGCGCCCCCGATCAGGACGCGAGAACAAGACCCAAAGGCCGTTGGGCCTAATGGCGTCGGAGATCAATCCAACACCACATTCTTCATCGGCACCACAGCCTATATACCTAGCTGATCAAAAACCAAACAGACCCCTAAATTTCTCATTCTTCGGTAGCTACTAGCTAGACATCAAACCCCAAGCTATAATAGAATTTTGGTTGGACTGCAAAAAAATGCACATGGATAAAGGTGCATATCTTCTCGTCGAATGACTATTTGATAGGTCGCATAAAATGATTTCGCGTGCTTATACTTTCATAGTATCATATATACCGGGTTGTACTAATTAAGAATTGATAAAGTGTGTAGAAACTGGCGGTTTGCCCAATAATAATTCTTTTCGAGAGCTCCATCATTGTCCACTCGAATGAGCAAAATGAATGGTAGGAGTAGTAGCAGTAGTAACAGGACAAAACTGTAGTAGACAATTTTGACCTGCCAATGAAATTAATAGCTATTCTTTTCGGGCAAAATAAATAATATATATAAGGAAAACAAAGAGAAGAGGAAGTTGTGTACAGAAAACACAGGTATGAATCAGTGGCCTGGTCCTTTCAGGAAAAGGTTGCTGCTTTTAGACCTTTATTAGTTCCGGTTTCATTCATTCATAAGCTTGCAGAAGATTTTGTAAGGTGACAGCACCCATTTCATTATGCATTCGAGTCATTTTCTCCTTTTCTTCCTCTTTACTTAACAGTCCCATCTGATCTTGGTTGGCTGTATGCCTTTTTGTCGAGCGTCTGGTCTTGGATTTATCAGTTCCTTCTGCGCAAGTTACTGCTTACTACTACTGTCTGATCCGTTACTCGGTAAAAACAGTTGGAAGAAGCCGGGTGAACAAGAACAACCCCAGCTTTCCCCCCAACGCGGGCCAGTGCCGTCTCCGTACTGGTACTGGACGTCTCTTTCTCGAAATTCTCTGTCTACAGCCTACAACCTCTCTGCAGGCTGCAGCCGTCCGTCCGTCTCCCCAAGTATATTTATCAGGCCCCTCCCGGCCTCCCCGGCGCCTCGACGCCCTCCGCTTCGTTCTGCGCGTCGTCCTCGCTTTTTGTTTCGTCGTCGTCGTCCCCGGCGTCCGGAAACCGGCTATGGAGGCGGCGCTGGGGGCGCTGTGCCGCGCCGGAGGGTGGTCGTACGCGGCCGTCTGGCGCTTCCATCCCCAAGACCCTCGGTGAGCCGTGTGAATTGTGATTGCCTGACCGGGTGTGTTACTGTATTTCGTGCCGATGCATGTACGTATAGCTAGGTGATGGTTTCTCTTGCAAGCTTATTATTACGGTTACGGCTGGTTGAAATTTTGGAGCTCTACATGCCTGTGTTCTTCCCGTTGCCTGCTTGTCGCACATTAATCTGCCTATATAGCAGGTTCCTGTTTCAGTGTTTCTGTCTCTCCTGAGAGAGACCGCGAGAGATGTTGCAGCGACGAAGAACAAGATGTTCCTGTGTCTGCGTGTGTTCTTTCTGTCAGAAGTTTGCTTCTAAATCCGACTCTTTTTTTTCATAGCATTCTCAGGGAAATAGGGAACACTACTATTGCTAATCGAGAGTTTTATTTGAAGGGTTCGCTCCTGCGATTGCAAATTGCTACTCTCATTGCATTTAGGAAGGGACGGAGACACGACTGAGTTTCCCTGTGTTTCTTTGAACTCTGCCGAGAGTGATACTAGCTAGATGCGTCTGCAGGAAGCTGCCCCCTTTCCTCAATTTTTTTAGCTAGCAAAACACTGTGATCCCATCAAAATTGACAGCAGGGTGTGTCGCTCCTTTTGGATGCCTCTTTTTCCTTTCGACATGATGCATCGTGTCATTCACTGTCCAACTTTTGCTTTTTTATTCCTGTTTTGTTTTGTTTTGTTTTGTTTCGTTTCGTTGCTTCATTGGTGTGTGTGGGTGTGTGTACTATGCAGTGCAGTTGACGAAGTAATACATGCGGTCCAGAATACTGACTGGTGCTACCCCATTCGATGCCAGGTTGCTCACATTGGGGGACTGCTACTGTGAAGATGAGGCAAAAACAATGGTTCAGAAGATGCTTAATCTTGTTGAAATTGTTGGGGAAGGGTACGAATGCACGATTAATAGATCTATCCAGTTATCTTTGGCATTCTATCTTGATATCCATCACTATGCCCTCTGGTTTCAGCATCCTAGGAGAAGCTCTATTAAGCGGAGAGTGTCAATGGATTTACGACACTTGCCATGCGTTGAATCAAAAAAGCCATGCTGATAACAGAGACTTATATCCGGTACAAATCTGTTTTTCGCCCAGCTGTATTGTAAGAGCTCATAGTATTATGCCTGGAGAAGTATAGATAATCAATTTCTGAAGAATCCCTAGAGTTGTCAAAATAATATTTCATTCTGCTCTTCCTCTCTTTCTTCCATTCATTACCGCTCGTGCTACCATTTCCTACAGCAGCAGACAGTTGATTTTAACAAATAAAAAGTTCCCCCCCTTTCAGGGTTATACTTGGTGGCAGCATCAGTTTCTGAATGGGATAAAGGTTGGTGTTTCTTGTTTCTTGCCTGAAAAGCTAGGCAACCTTGACTATTTCATCTGAGTGCGTGTTTTAGCTTGTACAACGTCAAATTGGATACTGAAGAGCGGCACGTTATATGCAGACTATTGCAGTATTGCCTCTTCAGTTGCAGGGACTGGTGCAATTTGGTTCCACACGGAAGGTGAGTGATACTCCAAACTGCAATCTTTATACCCTCTGCCAATGTAGTCTTTATTAGTTGTCAACAGTAGAATTTGTTACATTGTCTTGTGTCAAGCAAACGTTAATAGTATGACAGTGCAATTCCCAATATGCATTTCTTGAATTGTTACATTAGTATGACAGGAACAAGAAAAGCTTCCTTGAATGTTACTGCTAGTTTCAGAATTATAGATGTCCTGTGAAGCGTGCAGAATATGGATTTATCAGGGTACAATTATGTCTGTATTTTCTTTTTGAACCTGACTCTAATTTAACTACTCGCCAGGTTCCCAGGAGCTCAATTTTTTTGAATCAGGTCAGAGATATATTTGATCGGATGAAGAATGCTTCAAGCGATGGTGCTATGGAGTATACCCAGAACAACTCTCTTGCATATGGTCAGCAACCTATCCTTACTTCATTGAGATCTGCCAATGACATGCTCGTACATAACAAGGTCAACCCATTGCAAACTGAGAAGCCTGAGGAGAATATTGAGAGAACAGAATCTATAAGGAGTTCGATGTGTTCTCCAAGCAATTCACAAAGATCTTTAAATGACTTAACCTCCCACGGTACTGGTAACACCAGTATGGATACTCATATATTGGCCATGCCTGTTAACTCCAAGACTATATATGAGCTCAAACGGTTTGATAACGTCACTGAGTTGTTTCATCAGAGTGCTGATGACAGAGTTGGTTTTCAAGTCAACTCTAGTAAAGAGCCTGGTTCTATTATTGCTGGTCTAATGTCAGGATACAAAAGTTCGAACAATATTCATAGGACAGAAAATGATTCATGTGATCAAAACACAGAATATACCCCATACCTTCACACTACCACCAACTCTGCAAATTCTGGCCTAGATGAACTTTCTTATTCTGGCACTGGTTTGTCGTCATCGTTTACAGCAGTATCTGGAAAAATTAAAAACTGCCTGCATACTGAGAGTGACAAGTTTCTATGTAAATCTGTATCATTCAGCAGCAGACCTTGTGCTTCTAAAATCCAAGAAAATCGCCTATCACCATACCATGCCCTCATGCATGAACAATCCATGATACCTGACGACCCTGGAGAATCTGTGAGGCTCCTCTCACATGAAGAATCTTTTAATGTTCAAGGTGACTCAATGCAATTCAAGGATGCTACCCACTTTACATACCAGGATGACAGTACATTTCCTGAATTACCAAACAGATCACCTGAAGAAGCTACTGCTGAAACTTTAGAAAACAACATGAAGGACTGTAGTGGAAATAACAGTCTGCTGGAAACTATGATGCTTGATCTTAGGACTAACAGCTTTGTGCAAGATTGCTGGGATGACAATGTTCTACTGGCAGAAAACCTTCCAAATTCAAGCAAAAAGCACTCAGAGCCTGCTATAGAATTGGCCAATAGGCATTCATTGCCAACTGGGGAGAGAGGCTTGCCTTTCATACCTGTTGTCGAACAATTACTAGGTGATGTTGCACATCCACCTGCCGGACATAGTTCACTTGAGGCTGATGCTACTGCTTTAGCTGGCCGTGTTTCAGATTATCATCTGCCTCAGTTTGCTTTTCGAGATTGCCTAACAGCACACAACGCACAAGTCCCATCACTGGCCTGCAGTAATTATACATCCAGAACCGGAAGTGCCCAAAATGGTTCTTCAGAAGTGCCATCAGCAAACATATCTGTGGATGACACCTGCAGTTTCAACACAGCAAATTCCAAGGGAAGTCAGTCGAGCAATCCTGAGGGGAAGGTTGCCAAGAGAAGAGCTAGAGCTGGGGAGAGTACCAGACCTAGACCAAAAGATAGACAACTGATACAAGATCGCGTTAAAGAATTACGACAGATTGTCCCTAATGGTGCAAAGGTAATAATCAATGAAACACTTGCTTTTAAGTTTATCATATTTTACATCGATCGAGACTGAATGACTGATCCCTTTTTATTCGTTTTTTTTTTACACAACAGTGTAGCATTGATGCTTTGTTGGAGCGAACAATTAAGCATATGCTGTTTCTACAAAGTGTAAACAAATATGCAGAGAAAATTAAGCAAGCTGATGAACCAAAGGTATCCTCTCTTTGTGTGTATGCACATAAATTATGTATTGATTAAATGTTTCTTATAAAGAAGTCCTCTATTATGACACTTGCTGACTTGTCATCATTGTTAAGATAATCGACAAAGAGAGTGGTGTTGTCTTGAAAGACAACCCAGATGCTGGCAAAAATGGTGGTGCCACATGGGCCTACGAGGTTGCTGGGCAAACCATGGTTTGCCCAATAATCATTGAGGATCTTTCACCACCTGGTCAGATGCTTGTTGAGGTGAAAAACTGAACTTTAAGTAGCTTTATCTACTCTCTCTCTCTCTCTCTCTCTCTCTCTCTCTCTCTCTCGCGCGCTAAGTGCAGCATATGCAGATAACCGTTTGTCTAATTTACAGATGCTTTGCGAGGAACATGGGCTCTTTCTGGAGATAGCTGACAACATACGTGGATTTGGTCTCACGATCTTGAAAGGACAGATGGAGCTCCGTGATGGCAAGATATGGTCGCGGTTTCTTGTTGAGGTAGAGAAGGAACCATATGTTCACATTCCTCATTTGTAGCTTCGTTAGTTGTTAAACTGTATGCTGGCTTTTGTTATTTCAGGCAAACAGAGAAGTCACAAGGATGGATATATTTTTGTCGCTTGTTCAGTTACTAGAACAGAACAACCTTGTTCGATCTACTGACCAGATGGCTAAGGTCATGAATAATGGGGTTCCATCCTTTGCAAACCAGCAGCGATCTCCGCTGCCAGTTCCAGTGGGCATTGCTGAGAGACTACAGTGACTGCAAATGTTTCAACTAGATAGAGTTAGGTACCACGACTGTAACATATCTGGTAGCCAAAACTCCATGCATTAGAGCCTAGTGATAACATCTGAGTGATAGTCTCACTGCTGCTAGAAATTCCAGTATCAAGAACATGACTGATTCAAACATGAGCTTCTAACGCAGAAATTATGAACTTCCCTGATTACTGGGTGTGATCAGTGAAGTGGCATTCTTTCCTGCTTAGTTAGAAATCTTAGGTTGACACCTTGCCCAAGAGTAGCTGGGTTCTTGATACTGGTGTTTCTTATGCAGTGATGGCAGTGTAGTAGTGCTAGCTTGCAGTGCCAGAGCTTCACAGAGGCTATACTGGACTATACCCCCACCCCCCAACACCCCCTCCTCTTATTTTGTGATTATAATCTGAATGATTAGTGAGTTACTTATGAAAGATATCAGAGCTTAAAATCTACCCGCTGATCCTCGCAAAAACCAAAACTTTCATTTTAGAGGTACGTTTATATTGAGCCAGTTCCCACCAGCACAAATGCACAACTCATCTATCACAGGCTCACAGCAAGAACAAGTGTGGAGCACTATGGGAAACTACCAGCTAACACAATTCTAATGCTAAGCACTACATTTCCTCAGGACTTCAACAAAGAGGATGATAACACATGATTCATGCATCTCCTTCCTCTTGGGTCAATCTGATTACCTCGATTACCAATAAACTGAACTAGTCAGCAATTTAAGTTAGTGCCAATCGAATAACATGTACTGAAACAATCCTAACAAAGGCTAAAGAAAAAGACATCAGCACCTGTAATCCAGCAAATGCATATAGGGGCCCTGGGCTTTGTTTATAGAAATACAAAGGAACCCATCACAGAAATCAAAGCAGTGGTCAAGGAAAACCACAACAATTCTCTATCTAGTCATTTTTTTCTGCTGGTACTTTTTGGCAATTGGCACCAGCCTGTTCGTTTCGTCGTAAACGATCGTGGATTATTTACTGCTGGCTGGTTTGGTGTGAGAGAAATATAATGTTCCAGCTTATAATCCGCGATCGTATACGAGCAAGCGAACAGATATTCTTTGATTTGTGATGGAACTCCACACTATCGCATCACCATTAGTTAATTAGTACCAATCAAAATTCCCACTGCTATAAAGCATGGAACCTAAACTAACCTTTTAAAAAAAATAAAAATAAAGCATGGAACCTAAACTAACCTTGACAGAAGCTGTATGGATTGTGGGTGAAGGCGCACCTGTAACGCATCCACCAGCATTCAGCAAGGACGTCTGCGGGAAAGGCCCATCTGCAGTACGGCACTAGAGTACGTAGTAACTTATCGTCACATCTATTGATGTGGCCGCACCGCCAGATATGGGGAGAGAAGGGGGAGGAGGTAGACAGCAAAGATTAAGAGACGGATTAGCTGAACCGAGACGGAGGATATCATAGGGGATGGTGAAGGAGAGCCGGAGGCCAGGCGGGCGGCGGCCGTTCCCGTCGCCGTCGTCAGACGGGAAAGGGACTAGCGGAGAGCAGCCGCAAACTAAGAGTAGCTTACAAATATCAGGGGCTAAATGCAAAAATACAGGATCATACATTTTTTTTTCTCAAATACACAAAATGTTTAGGTATCTTTATATTAAGTAGAGAAAGTTTTTAGACGATGCGCCGTTTTAGAGCGCGCTAAGAAGGACAAGAATGATTACATTTGAGCAGAGCCTCAGCGTAAAAAAGTACAGGGATATCCTATAAAAAAAGTACAGGGATATATATAAAACATAGGATTACGATGAACATATTATGGGCAAAGAGCTCGCTGAACTGTCTCACTGCAACTACACTTGTTTTCTTTTTCAATCAATGTTAACTAAGTTTGAATGAAAAAAAAATGAACCTGGCTCGGTTCGAAATTGGATAGCAAACTTGCAAAAATAAGTTAAAATATATACTTTTGAAGATAACTCGAAAACTTAGTTAAGAGAGTGTGCGCTATCACGATGTAAATATTTTTTATGCTTCGTTGCTTCTTGCCCTTGAAACGATGGACAAAGCTCGTGTCCTTTTGTTTCAAAAAACTTTGGTTGACTCCATAGCAACCGGTGCTTCTTGCCCTTGAAATAACGAACACGCGTGGCAGATGGCAGCAGTTGCAAAGAACGTCCACCTGGTGAAGCTGCAGCACAATGCACAATCCGCAATCATAAGATTATCAGGATATATAAACTGGAGCACAACCAACGCCACTAATCCGTGGAGATCATGGCCCATAGAAAATGGATTAGTAGGACCAAGAAAATGGCGATGGAGCCTTAAAGGTTCATGCCTGCCCGTTTGGTTTTCCCCCTGAACCATCGTGCCGTGTTCATCTCATCATCTCCATTCGGAGGTCAGCTCCTAAACGCCCTACCAACCATGAACGGTACAGTAACTAGTTGTCAAAAAGAAAAATGAACGGTAGCCAGAATTTTCGACCCTATAGTAATTTTTCCAAAACAAAACGAAACGGAGAAAGGAAACCAAAGCTGCGACTTGCAAACAGCGCGAGGCGACCACGGGCTGACAGGCCGGACGGCCCGCTAGCAGCCCAGCTGCTTCCCTCAGCACCCACGGCCCGCCCCCCGTCCGTCGCGTTTGACCCGATCGGTGGCGGTCGCGGCCGCGGTCGCGTTTCCACCGTCTCCTCTCCCTCCTGCAGCGGCCAACCATCTCGCCTCCCCTCTCCGGCCTTCCCCGTTGTCCGCTCACCCTCCCTCGCCCCGTCGGTCGCCCGCCCGCCCGCCCGCCTCGCAATACTTTTTCGCCCCCGTCTTTGAACCTTCCTCCTCCACCGCTCTGACCAGGGCGGCACGGCCGAGGCGCCCATTCATCCTTATAAATCGGCCCCGAGGCGGGCCGTCGTCTCCCTCCCAGACCGCAGCACAGCACGCAGCCGCCGGGGGAGTCGAGCCTGAGAAGCAGAGAGGGCGGCAGGGTGATTCGATGGCGAAGCTGTACGTGCAGGCGGTGCCACCCCCGGATCTGAACAGGAACACGGAGTGGTTCATGTACCCAGGGGTCTGGACCACCTACATCCTCATCCTCTTCTTCTGCTGGATCCTCGTCCTCTCCGTTTTCGGCTGCGCCCCAGGCACGGCGTGGACGCTCGTCAACCTCGGCCACTTCACGGTACGTACGGCGTCATTCTCCTGCTGTTCCCCTTGCTATCGTCCTCCTGTCTGCCATGGGGATTGTGGTTGCTCGTTGGCTTGGCCGCGCCCGTGGATCTGAGGTCCGCCGCCTGTTGTAGTGGCTGGCTTGTTCGATAGCTCGTGTCCGGATGCTGCCGTGTGTCGGCTATGAATTCCTTCCCTAGCTTAAATTTCCTGATGGTTTCGGCTGTTCCCACTGGCTAAATGTTGGGTTGCTCTAGCAACTAGCATCTTACTGAAGCCCATCTCTTCCCCCTAGGAAATGGCTCCACGCTTGGTCGTCTACATCATGAGTTCTAAGTTCTAACCTCTAGCTGTTGCTATATGTGTTGGATGGGATTACAGACATTTATGCTTATCTGCATTTCATCCCTTGTGCCACGTAACTTTGGGATTCCTAAACTGCTAAATATTCATTCGAGGTTCTGCATTACTGAAGATAATTTAGGCAGAGGTTTGCTCCTCTCAGGCCAATTACAGGCAAATAATACTAGGGTGCACAACAGTGACCTGGTCAGCAGCCAAGGTCTGTTTGCATTGTAGTGGCAGCTCATAGTCCCACAAATGATTTGGCAGAAACAGGGTGTGTATTGCCATCCTATGGTCCTTTCAAGTTTCAGCTATTGATCTTTTTAGTTACATGTCCTTTTTTTCGATCAATAGTTACATGTCCTAGACACCTTAGTTCAGACTTCAGAGTTCACTAGCTGCCCAGTGTTCCTTTTGTTACAATCTGATGGAGTGAGTGTTTCAGTTATCTGAATCTTTGTGTGGTGATCACATTTGTCATGGACTCATGGTAGTAGAATGGGAACGTCTTGTTTCCAGGCTTAATGAGGTGTCACTGGCACACCAAAAGTGGCACTGCGAGCATTGTGTTTCTTATTATTATTGACCTGCATTTGCAAAATCAAGAGTCCGAAGGTAATATGAGGGTATAATTTGGACTTGATACATGCATTGGTACTGAAACTAACAATGCCCTGCAGAATACTTAGTTTTGATGGTTCATGTACAGCAGCAGACAAATAAACAATTTACACTATGAAAGTGGAATTACATTTTGATTTTCCTAGCAGTGTATGATTACAGTAGAATTATATTTGTATTTGCTTAGCCGAGTAAGGTTACAGTTTGGCAAGTTTCTTGATTTGTCATCAGCCAGATTTTTTTTTCATTTCTATTACTTGCCTCATTGAATATTTGTTTCAGATCACCTATCATTTTTTCCACTGGAAGAAGGGGACCCCATTTGCTGATGACCAGGGGATGTATAATACATTGACATGGTGGGAACAAATGGACAATGGCAAACAGCTTACACGCAACCGAAAGTTTCTGACTGCAGTTCCTGTCGTTCTGTAAGGGCTTATCTCTTGCAAATGCGCTTCCATTTATACACGTAAAAACTCTATGATGGCCTTATTGCATGAAATTATTACATTGATGGATATATGAGTGGCAAATGTTATTTATAGCCAATAAATGGTTCTTTTTTTTAAAGAAAAACATAAGCTAGTGATTTTCCCTTAGCACTGATGTTGATGTGTTTTTAATTAACTTTGTCATATCATATGATTGTCTGGACTATGTATTGGTTAGTAACCATTTAACTAACAATATATTTCTGTTCGAAGTAATTTGTTGTGGTCCCTTGTACTCCCTCAATTCCAAATTATAAGACGTTTTGGCTTTTCTAGATACATAGCTTTTGCTATGCACTTCGATATACACCATGTCTAGATACATAACAAAAGCAATGTATCTAAAAAAGCCAAAACGTCTTATAATTTGGAAGGGCACTGGGTGAATGGAAAGGCCTGTGCTCTTTAATTGTATTTTCTTCAAATTGCTTTACAGTTTGTATGGCATAAGTTCTATTTTGCTTCATATATGCTTGTGGAAAGGGATCTCATTCTATTCCATTAGATGACTGGATTCAAACTTCTAGATGTGGGTATCAGAAAATCTCCCTTATTAAAACAACGTATCTTGTTTGAACTAAATCTCTATATCTGTGAACTGGGAGATTTACGGAACTATCATCTTGAAAGTAGACTGCCACAACTGATTGTGGCATCCTCTTGAATCTTGGTCATAAACTGCCTGTCATTAGTAAATACACCATGGTGTGCCATGTTTGATTGTAGTGCAGCTACCAGCCCAGAACTCTTCATTTTCTAGATTAAAGAATGAAGAAACATTTTTTCATTAAAAGAGGTCTACCTCCTTACAAGCTTGTCCAACACCGGTTGAGATGGTTTGGACATGTCCAACGGAGACCTCCAGAGGCACCGATGCGTAGTGGAATCCTAAGCCAGGATAGTAACGTGAAGAGAGGCAGAGGAAGACCGAAGTTGACTTGGGTAGAGGCAATAAAAGAAGACTTGAAAGGATGGAATATACCCAAAGACTTAGCCTTAGATAGAAGTGCTTGGAAGACAGCTATTCACGTGCCTGAGCCTTGATTGCTTCTGCTGGGTTTCAACTTTAGCCTACCCCAACTTGTTTGGGACTTAAAAGCTTTGTTGTTGTTGTTGTACCTCCTTAGCTTGAATTCAGTGTTGGGCTTTGAGAATTGCCAAAGTAGATCATATCTGCAATATACAAGATAGTTATGGTCCAAGATCACTTGGTTCATTCAACAAGTGCAGTGACACAAGTTACAATGGACAAATCATATCTGCCATAACCTCTAGTTTGTTTTTTTTTTAAAAAAAAAAGAGAGAGAGCATGCACTGTATATTTTCGTTTTGATTGTATAAGTACCTTCAGCAGTGTTCCAATTGGATTTTGTCATGCCTACTACCAAGTAATTTTTGTTGCATGTGTCATTTGCTTTTGTTGCAAATGCAGAAGTCTGACCTTTCCATGTTTGTCTTCTGACACCAAGCATTTCCTTTCAAGTCAAGTTATGTGTTAGTGTCAATGTAGACTAAATTGATCCACATGATTTTCTCCTGTTTTGAACGATGAACAACCATGATAGTTTGTAAGGCACTCTTAACAATTTGTGTCTAGAAGTGGCAAGGTAGTATTAGCTATGGGAGTATTTATCTTTAGTAGGCTGCTCTCTTTTTGCAAAACAAAAAGGTCTGAAGTTCTATTTCCCATGTCTTTCCCGCTCCAATGGTGTAAGGCTGGAAGCAGACCAACCAATAATAAATTTAGTTGTTTCTTTGGTTCTAAGTTCTAGCATATTCTTTAGAAATATGTAACTGCCACTAGAATCATGATTATTTAAATATTAGTACATTAGTTGTGATGCATCTATGTTCATTATGTCCCCTTAGTTAAGATGGCAGGTTTGAGTTTAGGACAATAACTAGTATCAATTTGGAATTTGACACTGTCTTGCTGATATGTTTCGCCTGACTAGTGACTTCACATGAGTTAACATAGCATGGTAATTTTCTGAAGTTCAATTCTCTTTGCTTGAGTGACCTGATGTGCATAAGTCATGGAATTTCACTTATTCAAAAGAAAAGGTTATAAAATTTTCAATAATACATGGAGTAGCAGTTTTCCACCCTGCACCCCCACACGCACACAATCTAATTTTATGTCAGACAGACGGAATGGACTGTGGCACTAATATAGGGATGATTGCTCTGTTCGGCAGGTACCTCATAGCTTCCCACACCACAGACTATCAGCATCCTATGCTCTTCCTCAACACCCTAGCAGTCACCGTGCTGGTTGTTGCCAAACTACCAAACATGCACAAGGTTCGGATTTTTGGTATCAATGCTGGAAGCTAAGCAGCAGGGTCCCACGGTAGACAGGTATACACGGTATGTTTCATTTGGATCACGGGATGTGTTGCACCTAGCTCTAAACTGCTGTGCCAGAGTACCAGTGAGTAGTATTTGAGATCTGTTTGTAGATGAAATGTAATCATTGTACAGATGACATGTTTAGATTCGTAATGTTGCTATATGTTGGCAAGCAAGAATTTGGCAATTGATACATGTACAGATCTGCTCTTTGCCAAGAGGCAATAACCCATCGTTACATGACAGAATTATGGCTGGTAGAGGTAACACCGTAACACAAAATATTCTCTTATATGAAGTTAGTTGAAGGATCAAAGATGATTGGTAAGTTGAGTTGCCTCTCTTTTTTGTTGGTCTAACTCTTTCAACCTCCGACCTTTACCATGTCGAGCAGGTTGAAGGAATGCAAGACCATTCTTCTATCCTCTATTGTTCTCTCTTTCGATCCTCGTCGATCTTGTAAGATGTGGATTGAGCCCTTTTGTTCCAACTTCTTTGATTCCTGTCAATTGCCATGACATGTGGACAGAAGTATCATGGAACCAAAAATCCCTTTTCGCTTGCTTGCGTCTCTTAGTGTTCTTTTGTTGCGTTCTGGATTCCATTCCTTCAATTCCCGTCGATTTCTATGGCGAGCGGATCAAGGGAAGGTGAATCTGTATTTTCTCTCTTTTGGCTCTTTCGTGCTTGAGCCCCTTGTATGCTTGTACCTATTGTAGACCTTAGCACTCTCTAGGATCTTGCGGTGACAACCGCTCCGCTAATGGCATGTTCGTTTGGTCGTAAACGATCGTAAATTTCTAGCCAGAACAGTATTTTTCTCTCACACCAAACCAGCCAGCAGTAATAATCCACGATCGTATACGATCGTATTAGCACTAGCCGAACAGGCTGTAAGACCCTAGGGGTGTCTTGGTGCTATTTAGTGCACGTAGGTCGAGGTACCCTACGAGTGGATTCCGATGCTCCGTCTTTTGCCATGACGTATGGATAGGAAGAAGCAGACCACAGCTCCTCTCTTTTCTCTACCTGTTCCACCCTTTTTTCGATTCCCATCAATTGCAATGGCGTACGGATTGAGAGAGAGAGACCGGAACTGCTCCCTTTCCCTTTACCATGCTCTGTTCGATCCTGTCTTTAGCCATGACGATCGGATCAAAGACCGGACTATCATTTCTAGTTGGCGAAGCTTAGGTCTATGATTGTATTCTCGGAACCACGAGAGTCGACCCGATCGATCATTAGAGTGCCATCTATACCGAGGATGTGACATGGATGTACCTAGCCGACCTTCTCCCTCGCCCCTTTTTAAGCCCGAGGAAAACGGACTTGCTTCGTGAGGGCTAGCCTTGTTTTCCGTGGTGTTAGCTTAAGCTGAGCTAGGGTCTAGGCCATTATTCTTGAAGCCGTACAGGTCGACATGATCGGCCCAAGAAGTATTGGCTAGGCTATGACTCGAGCTTAGCAGACACCACTCCTGAGCATCCTCTATGAGAGGTACCTGTGGCTTCCAAGGGATCACAGCCGCCAGCCTTTCACACCAAGAGGCCAAAATCTGCTTTCACGTGTGCAGGAGCTCATTGATCCTGTTACTGGTTCCTGGGATGAAGTGCTCATCAGAGCAACCTTCTGGGAAGAAGATGCAAAGGAAATTCTATGTATCCCGGTGCATGAAGGGATGAATGATATTGCGGCTTGGCATTATAATAAGAATGGACAGTTCTCTGTGAGGTCAGCTTATAAAGTTTTTATGGAAGAAAGGAGTAATGAGCGAAGGGGAGGAGGATCGACCTCAGGGACAGCCATCCGCATTGCTGATCCATTCTGGAAACGCGTTTGGAAGCTCAGCTGTCCAAAAAATATAGTGCATTTCCTGTGGCACAAGGGGCATAATAGCTTGGCACTTCGCGTAAATCTGAAACGCCGTGGTATGAAGATGGAAACAGGATGTGTCATGTGTGGTCGCCTGGATGAAGATGGGGCGCATCTATTTTTTAAGTGCAAGTGCGTACGCGCTGTTTGGGTGGAGCTGCAGCTAGAGCCGGTGCGAGAAAAGTTGGCAAGTGCTATGTCAGCAAGGGAAGTAATAGAGATGGTTCTGGATCTGAAACCTGAGGTACAGAGGCAAGTGATCACCCTACTCTACCTATGGTGGTCTGAACGTTGTGGAGTGAGGGAAGGTGAGAAGCTTCGTGATGGAGCCCGCCTGGCGCAATTGATCAATACATATGCAGTCGAATGGTCATCACTTAAGCAAGCAAAAGCATCGGGAGATCGGTCTCAGCCCAGGAGGTCTTGGGTGCCGCCGCCGGAAGACGCTGTCAAAATAAACTGTGATGGGGCTTTCAATCTGAACAATCGCTCAGGTGGTTGGGGCTTTCTGATACGTGTCTGGGATGGAGGCGTCATCGGCTCGGGCTATGGGAAGCTAGACAACGTTGGGGAAGCTTTCCATACGGAGATCATTGCCTGCTTGCAAGCATTGCAGCGGGCAGCTGATTTGGGAATCCAAAAGGTGATCTTGGAAACGGATGCAGCCATGGTTGTGCAAGCGGTAAACTCCTCCGACTTTTGATCGTTGCTCTGCGGGAGGCCTCATTTGGGAGTTGAAGGACATGCTAGCTAGCAATTTTATTTCATATGTAGTTGTTCATAAACCTCGTTCTTGTAATTCGGCTGCTCATAGCGTAGCTGCCCAAGGGGCGTGTTTGAGTTCGGGTGCTACTCCGATTCAGGATAGCATTCCAAGTTGTACTCGTGTACTGGTCGCCAACGATTTGGCGTCTGTTAATGGGTAATGGAGAGCTCTTCCATATCAAAAAAAAAAAAAAAAACCCAAATATTCTCTTACATGATACATGAAGTCAGGTAACACAATATTCTCTTCCACAAAATATTCAATAGTAAGGGTTTTTTTTTCACACTGGTAAGTTGAGATTGTAAAACACTACCGTACTGAACCAAACTTCCTTCTTTCGACATGTTCTCTCCTATGCCTAATTTACTGTACTTAACCAAACTTCCTTCTTTCGACCTGTTCCCTCCTATCCTATGCCCCCAAGTTTAGGTTCCATGTCCATGGGCCAGCCTATCACGCTTTCTGATCTACGCTGTACTCTGCGAATAACGACTATGCCAACTCTTATCACTCTATTGCTTTTTGCAAGATCTGTTAGCTTCACGTTCCATGGTTGATAGAGCTCATCTAGATGCAGCTATGCTGGAATTGTACCCCTCCGAGAATTGTACAAGCAAGACGAAAGTAATGCTGCTGGCGCAATTGTTTATAGATCTGACGTGTCCGGTCGTGTTTTGCCGGCTTTGGACCCTCTCCGGAGTCGACCTGACTCGGTGGTGGCGCAGCATCAGGTGTCGGAGTAGCGCGTCCGGTCAGTGTCTCAGCAGCGCGGGCGAACGTGTGATTGGACGCGGCTTGGAGCGTCAGGTCGGGTAAAGATGGCAGCGGATCGGGTTCGGTGCGGATATCCGCGGGTTTCGGGTCCGCGGTTTTCGGTTTCGGTTCCTGGTTTTCACCCACGGATTTGCGGGTTCGGATACCCGAAATACCACGGTTTTGGGGCGGATATTAAAATTGACCCGTGGAGCTCCATCGGGGCTCCGGAAATTTCAGCCCACCAGAAGCCCACCTAAGAACCCTAAGTATATAAGCGTGGAATCGACGATTCGTTCAGCCCCCAACCGGCCAACCCTCACTCCCTCAGCCCTCATCCGCATCCACGGATCCACCCAGCGCCAGAACAAGATGACCGCATCCACGACGGGCGACGGCGGCGGCGGTCGGCGGCTCGTTCCTTCCTCCGCGACGGCCAGACGCAGTGTGGCGGCGCAAGATCTCGATCGGCGACTCGGCGTCGGCAAGTCCAACTGCGCTCACGCTTTCACGCAAGAACGAAGTTCAGCCTCGAAGTTCCGTCTTCCTGCCGTTCCGCCGACCAGAAGAGGTGAGCCGTCCGTCCTCTTGCCCTCCTCGCTCTCAGCCGCCGCTTTCCATCCGTTCATTTTCCGCCTCTCCGTTGCTTCCTCCTCTTCTTTGGGCTGCTATCGGTCTGGCGCTTCGCCGCCGCCCGCCACGGTCTCTGAGTGCGGGCGTGGGGACGACGCCGGATCTGTGGTGCCGCCGGTGGGGCAAGATCTGGAGCGAGGCTGCGCTGGGAGCTGATCCGGAGCTGCGTCTGGTGTGCCGGAGCTTAGCGCCATGATCGACGCTGCGCCTGCTGCTGTGTCATGCGGTCGCTTAGGTATGGTTCCTCGGCCGTCTTCTTCTTGCGCTTACTGCTTATGAAATCGATCTATAGAGATGTGACATTTTGATTTTTCTTGCGCTTACTTGCATGGACACGGTCTCAATCTCTCAGATTACTGCCTATAGTTGAGAGCTCTCTGTAAGTCTCATTCTAGGCGGCGTGCATGCCAATTGTTCTTGGTGTCAGCGTAGATGTTGCTCACTGGCATCAGGTTTCAAACTGATGGTATATTTTACAGAGTCTAGTATTTAAGCTCATAGTACTTCTCATGGGTGCCATGCTAAAGGCTCTGTTGAAACCCTAAGATGTAAAATTCTTCAATTATACGCTATTTGCAATTGGCATATATTTGTGCAGTTTTATGGAAAATTTGTTTTCTGCAATTCTCTCTATTCATAGAATGAATTCATTGCTGCAATTGGCTCACACCAAAGGATATATGCAATTTTTCCATATGTTGTTCAGAAAAGTTTTTTTTCCATATTTGCTGCAATTGGCTCTGTTGAAACCTGCACTCATTGCTGCAAATGGTCGTAAATTGAAGTGATTTCCACTTTCTTATGCTTTTCTTATTGTCAATAGCCATTGAAAAGTTTGTTGAGAAGTTAGCCCATCTTATGTCTATGCTCATCACGAATTTCCCTTTTGTATTTGTCAGGAAGTGAGCAATGTCGGCTCCTGGCGCTTCAAGTGGATCTCAAGCTGCTGCTGCTGCATCTCAATCTGTGGGTTCTCGTCCACGTCTTACAGCCAATTCAAGAAGACCGCCATCCGATTCAAAGAAGACCGCAAATCGATTCTCGCAACTCTAGGTAATAATTCAGTGGTAGAGGTAGAAGATGATGTTCCTGTTGGTAGTAAGAGGAAGCTAAGATCTGAAGTATGGAAAGACTTTGATTTGATTAATGTAAGTGGGGTATGGAAAGCAAAATGTAAATGGTGCAAAAAATATTTAGGTGGGGAGACAAGAAATGGTACAACCCACTTAAAGAATCACATTGCTGTATGTCAGGACAGAGCTACTAGAAAAGGTTTAACACAGTCTACTCTTAAATTATCACGCAAACCCACAAGATGGGCTTTGTCACATTAGAGAAGTATGTGTTTGATCAAGATGTCGCTAGGAAAGAACTTGCTTTAATGATTATTGTCCATGAGTTTCCTCTTTCCATGGTGGACTATGTTGGATTTCATAAGTTTTGTCTTTGCATTGCAACCAAACATTCAAGGTAGTGTCTAGAAACACAATTAGAAAGGATATCTTGGATATGTATCAAGTGCAAAAGCAATCTATGGTGAATTACATCAAAAAAATGAGTGCTCGTGTTGCTGTTACTACGGACTTGTGGACAGCAAACCACCAGAGAAAAGGTTACATGGCAGTTACAGCCCATTTTCTAGATGAAGATTGGAAGCTTAAAAGTTTTCTTATTAGGTAATAATAAATCACATCATTTTGTGTTCTTGTGGACAACAAACAACCAGAGAAAAGTTTTCGTATTAGCTAAAAAGTTTTCTTATTGTTGTAGGTTTATTTATGTTCCGGCACCACATACTGCAGAGGTTATAGCAGGGGTTTTTCATGAAGTTCTCCTAGATTGGCATATTGAGAGGAATCTGTCCACTATAACTCTTGACAACTGTAGTGTCAATGATAGCCTCATGAAGACCTTGGCACCGATGGTGATGACCTTGTAAAGAACAAGGCTGCTGTGGAAGGCAAGTTACCACTCCTCTCTTGTATGTTGAAGGGCAAATTAATTCATATGCGTTGTGCTGCACATATTTTAAATTTGATTGTGAAAGATGGAATGAGTGTAATGGAGAAGGGAATTGATAATGTGCGTGATAGTGTTGCATACTGGTCGGCCACTCCTAAAAGACATGAGAAGTTTGAGAAAATGGCAGCACAAATGAAAGGAAAATATGAGAAAAGAATTGCTCTTGATTGTAAAACTAGATGGAACTCTACTTATATTATGCTTAGCACTGCACTAGTTTACCAAGATGTTTTTGAGCGCCTTGCTTCTCGTGCTCCTTGTGTTCCATCTCAAGATGATTGGAAGTTTGCTAGAGAGCTTTGTGATAGGTTAAAGATGTTCTATGATGTAAGCGAGCTACTATCGAAACTAAATATGTCACATGACCAACCTTTTCTTCCCCAAAATATGCAACATTTTTTGACAATTAGGAAGTGGCAAAGCAGTGAAATTCCTAAGGTAGAAGAAATGTCTATTAAAATGAAAGAGAAATTCAACAAGTATTGGTCGGATGTGCATGGTTTGATGGTCTGTTGCTACGTTGTCCTAGATCCTAGGTTTAAATTATAATTGTTGAATGCTCTTTTTCTCAAAATTCATGGGTCAGAAAGTGTAGCTATGGAAGCTGTCAACAAAGTGAAAGACTTGTTATACAATCTGGTTTTGGAATACCAAGATTGTATGGAGGATGTTGCCACAACAGATGGTGCTCAAACTAGACCAAGTGCTCCTTCTCAGATGGATGATGAAGATTGGATTGACACTTTTGATGATTACATGTCCAAACAGCCAGCTGTGACCTCCACCTATGTGCGAACAGAGTTAGATTTGTACTTGGAAGAGCCACTGCTGCCTAGGACATAAGAGTTAGATATCATTCAGTGGTGGCAACATGCAGGACTCAAATACCCAACATTACAAAAAATTGCACGTGATGTCCTTGCTATTCATGTGACAACGGTGACATCCGAGTCAGCCTTTAGCACTAGTGGGAGAATAATTAGTCCACATCGTAGTAGGCTTGCACCATCAATGATTGAGGCACTTATGTGTATGCAAGCATGGTCTCATAATGACATGTTAGGTAAGTGCAGTTTCTATAAGTATGTGGTTTTCATTCCATATAAGTTATATAACTAATTTGTGAAAATCACATCAATGCAGGTCTCATTCTACTTTTGTTGGTGCTTTGATGACTTATCTTGATGAAAAGATGAAGAAATGGTAGTCTTTGTTGTTTCCTTGTATATTCAATTTGTGAATTTACAATGCGTTGAACATTCAAGTAATGAGCTACTCTCTATTTTTATTTCACACGATGAAGATGACTCCACCATAATTGATGAATGATGAACTCTGTAATAATTTGGACAGTGTGTGTACTGTTATTTGTTTGGACTATAATATGTGAACTCTCCAATCTTGAACTTGGGTTGCTTCTCCAATTCTACCTTTGTGGGTATTTGTAATATTTGCAATATTTGTTTGGACTGTAATTGATGAATGTTTGGAATGTAATATTTGTTTGGATGTTTGGACTTTGCCACTTT